TCCAAAAGATTTTCACTGGCCAGTTTTTTCAGAACTATATCACTAGGTCCTTCTTCCCAATCTGTCTTAGTCTGGAAGCTCTACTGAAACCTGTCTACCATGGGTGACCCTGCTGGTATTTGAAATACTGGTGGCATAGCTTCCAGCATCACAGCAACATGCAAGCCACCACAGTAGGACAAACTGACAGACGAGTGGTGGGATGTATTCATATGTTTCAGGGATTAAGATGTGGGCATATTTGGGAGAGTCCATTATTCTGCCTACCTCAGAAAGGCTTCGGCTTCACTCCAAACTCTCTCATTAACAGCCACTACTGTATTGTTGGAAATTTTAATTCCTACTTGTTTAAAAACAAACAAAAAATATTTTAATTACCAATACTGCAACCTCTTTTACTACTGCTGCTATCACTACCTGTCCTTCCTACCTGTCATTCTGTGCTTATCTAGATTTACCAACACCTTTTACTATTTCTTTGCTCAACATTACTTTCTGGCAATATTGCTTTTAGAACTATTTCTCTTCTTGCTGAAATACATTATTTGGTTCTTTCCATGAGATTCTTTATTTTAGTCTCATGATAGTTTTGCAGAGAATAAGATTTTATTCTCTTTGGTGAAATATTCATCTGTTATGTAGGTCTTTAAACGTCTTCTCATGGAGTTTAAAATTTTTTATCCATAATGGACTTGTGCTTTCTTCATTAAGGATACTCATGGAGAAAATGTGTTGTTACTGCAAATGTTTGCCTTTTGTTTCTATTATATTTTCTGGTTGCTTACCTCTAAAGAAGCAAAATACCATTGATTTTTATGTTTTATACAACGACTGGGCAATTCTAATAGTTTATCTATAGATTATGCTGACTTTTCTATGTAGATGAGCATATCTTCAAAGAATTTGATTTTTCCCTCCTTCCCTTATATTTATTTTATGTCATTTCTTTATCTTGTCTTATAGCATTGGCCAGGTTCTACAGAATTTATAACAATATTTACACATAATATACATGTTGACAATAAACATGATTAAAGCTTATTTTTAGATTTTCTGTTGATGAATCATGCCTTCGTTCCAGTTTTAAAGTATACTTGTTTGTGATATTATTTTTAATATACAGTTATATTTTGTTATTTATATTTTATGTAGGATTTTGCAACTATGTTATTATTATAATACCTATTTTAAACTGTGTATATTGACTTTCTCTACATGAGAATGTAAGTTCAAGGGGCTAGAGACTTTGTATGCCTTTTCACCAGTTTCTTTAGTAATTAAATATATGCTTAGAACATAGTAGATACCTGATACACATTTGGAACTCTGGTGGTGCAGTGGTTAAGAGCACAGATAGTAACCAAAAGGTCGGCAGTTCAAATCTACCAGCCATTCCTTGGAAACCCTGTGGAGCAGTTCTACTCTGTCCTATAGGATAGCTATGAGTTGGAATCGACTAGACAGCAACGATTTCAATATATATTTATTGAATTACTAAGTAAAAAAATATGTTTATAAATGATATGATCTGTGATTTTCATTTCTTTTACTTGCTCTACTCAGTTTCAAAATCATGGTAATATTAACCTCATAAAATTATTTGAGAGTTGTTAACTATTTTTATATTTTCTCGAATATCTTAGATCTATTTTAACATCAGAATTGACTTGATAGCAATGATAGCAGGTAGTATTTGAATTTCTAGATTTTGCAAGAACTCATACATATTCTAAACTTGGGAATTTTCTATGGCACAGGTCAGTGATAATTGTTTCAATTAAGGACACTAAAGTAGATCTGCTTTTCTTCTGAAAATAGTAAATCATATTTTGAGCAGCTAAAAAATTTTAAGATCCTCAGTATAACCCAACCTGGGGTTTCCTTACATGGATAAGCAATTGTAAGGGAGACAAAATAGAGATTTGGTAATGTTTCTGTAATTTTAAAACCTTACTTTACTGGAGTAAACAAACAAAAAACAATAAACAAATAAAAGGTCGAATAAAACTTTGGTTTTGTTTATTTGTTCATTTTTTATTTCCTGCCTTAGGGTAATTCGTAATCTCTTTCGGGAAACTCAAATGCCTTCCCTACTGATTTTTAAAAATTGAGGAAAAAACTAAGTAAAAAGCATAGTTTAGCTTTAAAAAAAAATTAATGGAAATTTAGAGTTAAATATGTGCACATAGATAATTTTATTCAATCTATAATGTTTTTAGGAAACACCAGCAGGGTTTCAAATATGACTGCCAAGAATTGAGATCATTTAACTTTAGAACTATAATTGAGCATAAAATTACATTAGCCTCATCAGATTTTTGGCTCTGTATCTAATATCACTTATACTTGCATTTATAAGCTATAAGGACCATAAACATGCAATATACAATTATATAGTCCCGTGTCAACTGTTTCAAGTTCTAAAATATACGATTTAAGTTGTGTTTTGGGTGAAGGTGAACAAGAAGGAAAAGATTTCTCCTTTAGTCCTTCAGCCTATGATACATCTTCAACTCCATGCTGATAGCACCTTCCATGTTCTGGAGGATCTAGATTTTATAAGGTTATTTGCTTTCATCTTGCTCCATGCAAACTGTCTTTTGACAGTGCCCAAGTGTCACGCCACTGACCATAGACTGAGCAACCTCCACCCAGTTGAGAACTGTACATTGTCTCACTCAACTATGGAGCTAGGTTAGTTGTCTTTACATTGGCTCCTCCATCCGCTGGTATCCAGCAAATGACAACTTGCCAGGAGTGACCCCTAACAAAGCCTAAGAATTTGGTCAACTTCCGTTTGACTTAGTCATGTGGATAATACCCACAGGTCAATTGCAATATTTTGAGACAGATGTGGAAAACTAGAGATGTGGCATTTGGGTGGAAGAGAAAGTTCCCTCTGATGGAACATGCCCAATATCACCCCAAAATTGAGGTACTGGTAAAATGTTTTCTATTATACAATTTATAATCTCCTTAAAGAAGTGAGCATCCTTTTAACTATTGGACTGTTAAGATGCACATTTTACCAATTAACATCATCATAACTTTATAACTTTATACAAACTCTTAATATAGTAATTATGAAGCTTACATAGATGGTAATCATCCCAGGTTCTATAGTTCCTCAGGCTAGTTGTGCTGTCAGTGAGAGTGAGCAAGAAAAGGAAGCGCTTGATGGTTAGCTCTTTATAGTAAGATACATATATCATCTGGTGAATTAGCAGTCCTGTGAAGATGTTGTAACTCATTTTGAAGCCTTCTGTTTTCAGCTTGAAAAGTTTCTTTGAGCTTTTCGACTTCTTCCTAAAGTAATAAATAAAAACTATGGAGTTTATCAGCTAGCAGAAAAGACTACTTACCTTGGGCAAAATTATAGAGTTAATAAATTAACAGAAAAGACTAATTACTGTGGGAAAAAAGTAATGCCCAAGTCAGTGGGGGAAACACACAAGCAAATCTTTAACTTTTTCTTACTTTTTTTAATCTATCAGTAACAACAGAATCAATCCCTGAATTCTTCTCTTCCATTCATACCTGTTTTCCCTCTCACTCTCGGATTTCCTACTTCTGTAATCATCCATACATCTGTTTCTGTAGCTCCAGAAACATCATCCTCTCTTTGTCCCTAAAATATTGTCTCAGAATTCCATTCTGAGGTTCCCTTCCCCCTCACTCTAAATAATCTCCTTGGGAAACCTTAGTCACAGCTTGATTTCAAGCCTCATTGCTACACAGATGAATGTCTCACATACTTCTAAAAGGGAAAGCTGATCCAGCAGCAGGCTATCCAGAATCAGGTGAAGTGTCTGAGCCTCAGAAGAGGGAATCTGTCCCATGTCTCCAGTTTTGGTGGCAGAAGTAGAAGAAAAGAATGAGGAGATCAAGGACTCCAGGTTGACCATACTGCCCTTCAAAACAGAGCTGTAATCTTAAAAATGTCTTGGAGTAGCACCTGGAAAACTAGTATATACAGGTAGACTGGTCACCCAAGGGGAGGAGTTGGATGCCCTTTGTCCCATAAGGGGACTCACATAGGAATTTTATACCAGGTTTGCAGAAGCAAGTGTGGACTTAACTCAGCAGAGATGACAGTTTTGATAATTTGCTAGGCTTTGGAATGTTGGCACTTAGTTATGTCTTTGGAGTCTCATTTTTCTGAAAATGAGTACATAACAGTTTGGCTTCACAGTGAATGTAGTAGATGAGGCAATGCATGCAAAGTGTTTGTAAAACACTTGGTAAATCAGAACTACTGCCTATTGAGTCATAATAATAACGGATGAGATGAAACAAAATTTGCCAGTTGAAGAACTTCAGAACCAGAGATGATCAAGTCAAGGACAGGGTCATAGAGACAGTAATATTAAATTAATTAGGTAATCTATGACTGAAGCAAAAGATTGTCCAGAGCAGCTAATAAGTTAACAGAAAGGAATAATAACTGTGGGCTATTTTATTTTATTTTTATAAATTATAGCGCTTACTGTGTTCCAGGCACCATTGCAAACACAACTATTAACTCATGCAATTATCAAAACCATCCTATAAGATAGGTATTAGTACTATTTACCTTCTGCAGAAGAGGAAACTGAGCAACAGAGGGGTTAGTTAAGTTGCCTAAATCATGTATTTTGTAAGTGGTGCAAATGGGAGTCATACCCAGATAGTCTGCCTCCAGAGTCCTTACTCTGGGTCACAGTATTATGCTGCCTCTTCCTCCTTGTCATTGCTGCCTGTGCTCATCATAAAGGGAGAAGACTACAATCCCCAAATGATACAATTGCTGCATACCTGGATTTTACGCTCCTGGGCCCTCTGTTGCTCTGCCAGCCAGTTTGCTCTGTCCCTCTCCATCTGTCTCACTTGCTCCTGGTGGAGTCTCTCCCTCTGCTCCATCATTAGCTGATTCTGCCTTTCAATCTCCTCCAACCTTCGTGCTTCAGCCTGTGCAGCCTCTGCTTTCAAGCGTGCCTCTGAGGACAAAGAGGGAAACAACAAACTATCTAGGATTGAGGTGTCCCTTCCTTCTTCTACCTTCCACTCTTGTTACAGAGAAAATTCCTTGGGGCCCTTTTCTCCTTTCAGGTAGCCATAATACAGCTGCTTATACATGCCACACCCAGATATGGCCTCAGGAAGTGAGAAGCGTCTTCACCATCCCTGCCCTAATTTGATGATCCCAGGTGGACCAGGGCAAGTTAATTTAAAGTTAGTAGATATTTCTGGTTTGTCTTCCATTTTCTTCTCACCTTTCAACTCCTTTTCCTTTGCTGTGAGAGTCAGGTCTGTCTGTAGAATTGCATCACTCACAGACTCCTTGGACATTAAATATTTCTGCAGAGTTTTGTCAGCCTAAGAATCCCCAAAACATGCGGTTAGAACAGGAAATGATGGTTAGAAAGGTAAACATGTTCATTTCTGTGTCCTCCCAGCATCTTTTCCTCCCTGGAAGTGCTCAGCCTACACTGGTAGAACTGCCAGTCAAGCTTCTCCTGTCTCAGGGGTGGGCACTTTCTCCAGGCTGGCCAATCAGATACAAGGCCAGCAGATACAAAGAACTTATTGACAAGCAAGGAAATACAGCGACCTGGGTTTTTTTTAAAGACTGAGCAGACTGCTGGGAAAAAGATGCTATCTCTGCAGAGTCAGAGGACACTAAGGACAAGCTAAGGTTGAAGCTGTTGGTGTTGTCTTTGTTGCCATCTGGGGTGAGCTTGGCTGAGAATAAAGCCAAAAGGGAGGAAAAAGAAACAGCACCAACAAAAAAAAATGAAGTGGGGTGGGGGTGGGAAATAGCAAGGAGGAGAATTGATGACATTGTTTAAACTCCTGAATGTAGGTGTGCTTAAAACTAAATTAAAACCTTTTGCTTTTAGTCTTTGTGAGCCAATAAACTATTGTTTTTTCTTAAGTTACTTTTAGTTGTTGGGTTTCTGCCCTGTGGCACCAAAAAGATCCTGCCGTAATAGATGTTGCGATAAAAGTCTTGTGATTTTGCTGATATTTCAATTTAATTTCACAGTCATTATTAGAGCAAAATCCTGTACTAGGAACACTAATAGGAGGCACATAGTAGGTTTTTTATTCCATGCTTATTGAATGAAACTGTAACTACTAGACAGAGATATAAATCTTGTCTGTGTGCCTGTATATGTCTTTCCTCTTATCTCACTGAATTTTATAAGAACCCCCTTCCCCACTACCCAGCAGTTTTCCAGAATTAATAGATAAATTAGGAGTACCTCTATTCCCTTCCTGGGCTTCTGATAGTAATTTTTCTTCAGCCTTTCCATCTTTAGAATGTAGAGACGATATCCTCCAGGTTTAGAATAAATCCCTTGATTCACTTCTTCTTCTAGAGGACTGAAAATATCCTGAAGTAAAGCTGAGCAACGATCCGATGATGCCTGCAGATTCTGCTTACAAAAGTTCTTCTGTTTTGCTTCTAGCTGGATCTTCAGAGAAACACATCAGCATTTCTAGCAATGATTTTCAAAAAGAATCTATATTTTTTCTAGAAAGTTAGAAATCTCCTGAAACACCTTTCTCTTGTTATTTTTCCCTTAGCATTGATCAGTAGATCACAGATCTCTACTCTCATGCCCTTATTTTAAATGCACTTATTGCTTTTTTAACATTTCTGGTTTCAATATTCTACTGGACTTGGGATTTCATATAAGGAGGTCATTATTGGAATAATTGTGGTACTGCTAATGCCACTCCAGTTTTTAATGACATCAATTTCTTAGTTTTTGCCTGGAATGATATCAGCCTAGTCTACAAAGCCTGGATACATAAATTTTTAGAAAATACAACTGGAAATTTTGTATGCTTAATTAATAAAAATGAAAAGTTAATACTATTAAAAATGTAATTTTAAAAGAATAATATTATTAAAAAAATGGGGCCATGGAAATAACATGGAAAGGTGGATTATAGGCACATGAAAGTTTTGAAATCTATAGGGCCTACAATAGTTGCCTTTTTTTTTTCCCTTCAAAATAACAATGATATCTTGGCCATATAAATGATAATCATTATTTTCCAGTCTTGTAAGAATGGTTTTTCTTAACTAAGTCTCCATTTTTTCCCTTTCATAGCAATACTTTGCCTTCTACTCACGCTAATCTCCTTGAACTTATCCTTATCCAACAACAACAAAAATTACCTGCAAATCCTTCAGGAATTTTTGGTCCACATCCTTGAAGGAGCTCTTCATGAAGACCTCGATGGCCCGCCTCTCACTGGCCCTGTGCAGGGCCAGCAGCTCCTGGTGGGCTTCCGTGGGCAGCTGCACCTTCTGGCTCATCTGCTTGTCATAGTGGGCAATGGCCTTTTGCACTGCAGCCGAGTTCTCTATCTGGGCCAAGGCCAGGACTGTGTCCTCCATGCAGGGCAGATCCCCACTGCTGATGACATTGACATAGGTCAGCACCAAGCTCTCCAGACCTACAGAAGGGAACAAAATTGGTGACTGTCAGTTGATGGGAGGGAGGAGAACAACCTGTATTCTGTATAGTCCTGAGACTGTTAATTTAATTATCTCTGAATCAACTGCTAGAGTATTCTGTATGCCTTTTAACTGTTACAAGTACTAGTTTTAAGAATTTTTCTGAGAAAAATACTGATGAAAAATTTGTGAGCCTCTGAGTCTAGAGGATTTTAAAGCTTTTGTTTCCTCTTCCCTCACTGTTCAAAGAGAAATTATTGAAATAAATTATCAGGATAAGTTTTTTTTTTTTTCCAAGATATTAGGACTTTGTCTTTTGTTAGCCTTTCTGTCTTTCCCTCCCCTCTTTTTCCTCCCCTCCCCTTCCTCTTCTTCATTTCTAATTTGTGAAAAAGATTATGCAGAAGACTTGGCTTTCTTTTTGTGGTGCAGGTCACTAGTCTTGTGTCTGGCCTAGGTAAATGGGTGCTCTCGGATATCCTCTCATCAGAACCCCAAGTACAGTCCAACTCTTCCTGACTGGACCTGGACTTTGCTGGTTTTAGGACTGAAATTCCCACATCCTAGAAAAAGCCAACTTTGGCAAATAAGAATAGTTAGTAACTCTATAGAGAGCAGTTCCTTGGAACTCAATTCTGGGCCTTTCTCTCTCATACCACATTCCCATCCTTTATTATGGTTTTAAGTACCATTTATATGGATGACTCTCAAATTTTATTTCCTGCTCCGACTTCATTTTTCAGGCTTTAGATGTGTATGTTTAAATGGCTTCATAACATCCCTTCTCATGTGTATCAAACAAAAGTCAGCACAAAAAAATCCAAATCCAAACAAAATTCATTTACCCTGAAAAACTATTCTTCCTCCAGATATCCCCATCTCAGTAAATAATACAACCATAGAAGCAATTGCTTAAGCCCCAAACCCTGGAGTCAGATTTGATGCTTCCTTCTCTTTAATCCCTACATTCCATCCATTATCAGTCCTTACAGATTTCACATCCAAAATATGTGTGGAGCCTGTATTTTGCCATCTTCACTGCTATAACCTTATCCAACACATTCCCATCTATTGTTGGACCATTGTAAACAGAATCTATCTTTTAATTCTTTCCCTTACACCCCTACAAAATACTCAGAAGGATAGTTTTAAATATAAATTAGATAATTTACCTCTCTGCCTAATTTCCTTCTATATCCTCCCATGGAACTTAGAATAAACTCTGATCTCCTCAAAGTGATCTACTAGGCTTTTCAAGAACTGCTCCCTGCATGCTTCTGCAATCATGTTCCACTCTTATTCACTCTACTCTGTGTCAATCACATTGTCTTTCTTTTTATTTTCTTGAAATTGGGAAGTTCTTTCCTGTCTCAGCACCTTCTCATATAATATCCCCTCTGTCTGCAAAGCTATTCCTCCCTGTTCTTCTTCTGGTTAACTCCTACTGACTTTTAAATTCTCATCTTAAACATCACTTTTATAGACAAGTATTCTCTATCCCTCTTCCTTAAACTATTTCCCACCTGCCTAAACCCCCTTAGTCTCTTACACCAAAAGCAAGCCAAACCCATTGCCAATGAGTCAATTATAACTCTTTACAACCATATAGGACAGAGAAGAACTGCCCCCTAGGGTTTTCTTGGCTGTAATCTCCACAGCAGCAGATTGCCACATCCTTCTCTGAAGCTAGTGGGTTAGAACTGCTGACCTTTAGGATAGCAGCCAAATGTTAACCACTATACCACCAGGGGTCCCCTTACTATCTCATAACAACCTATTATTTTGATTTATTGTGCTTATCACCATTTATCATGATGCATTTTTAAACTTTTTAAGGTACCTTTTTATTCCTATTTTTCTGGAATGAGGATAGAAGTCACATTTCTTTTATTCACCATTATACCCAGTGGTTGGTACTGTTGTTGTTACATTGCAGGCATTTACTAAATATGTTTTAATTGATGGACAAGAGAATTGCACTAAGGTTAGTGGCAGAGCCTGCACTGACATATATAAAGCATTTTCCTTTCCTTGACTTTGTCACTCTGTATAGATTTCATGGAAGGATATTTCATAAATGAGGAACTGAGAAGTTTGTGTAGAAAGTTACTATAACAGAATTGAAATCCAATTATTTTCCCTTTTTCACCTTACTTTTAAGAATATTAGATGACTTTAGAAATAGTTTTATCTAATATTCATAACAGTAAGATGAAAAAAGGGAAAAGAACTATACTTCAATTCTGTTATAGTAACTTTCTATGCTAACTTCTCAGCTCTCCATTTATAATAGATGACATCAGAAACAGTTTTACTGGAAACCTGGTGGTTTAGTGGTGAAGAGCTTGACCAGTTCAAATCCACCAGCTGCTCCTTGGAAACTCTATGGGGCAGTTCTACTCTATCCTATGAGGGTCACTATGAGTCAGAAATGACTCAACGGCACCTAACAACAAAAATAGTTTTAGTTCCAAGGTAAATTTCATACATGTGATCCTTGTATTGTGATTTTCTTGGCATCTGTAGTCTATACACTTGTTGGAAGTAATTCTTATGCCCCCCTGCTTTATCCTCTAAAAGGGACAGAGGAAAGTCCAGGTAAGGAGTGAGGAGAGAGAGAGAAGACTCACGAGGTCCATTGACTGTGATGCCACCTGAAAGAGTCTTGGGTTTGGAATTACTGAAGATGTAGGAGCAGAACTCTGCAGCTTGTTCTACGAACTCAGGGTTCAGCTCTCCCTCCTGTAGCTGCTCAAGGCGGATAAGGTTTTTCCTCTGAGCGGGCCGGTCAAAGATGAAGCACTTCTTTTGGGGGAAGAACTTTCGGATGCATAATCGAGGCTCATTAAAACTTTTAGTTTTTTGATCAGTACCTGGGGGAATAAAAATTAGAGGTAGTACAGCTTCAAACTAATTACCACAAATAAGTGATTCCTCAATGCCAAAATTTTCACAAAGCCTATATAAGGAAATAAAAATTAGCTAAGTATGGATCAGAAATTAAAAAAAAAAAGGAATGGGGTAGTACGACTGCAAACTAACCACAAGTAATTGATTCCTCTATGTCATAGTTTTCACAAAGCCTATGTAAGGAAACAAAAATCAGCTAATTATGGACCAGAAATACAAAGAAGGAATGGGATAGAGAACGAAAAGTCTTTCTCCAAGAAGAGAAATTGGATCTAATTAACTCAGTCAAGTAATGTTTTCACGTCATCTAGCACAACTGCCAAAGCATGGTTAAGAAACTCTGATTTTCAGCACCTATACGGAAATGGTCATTCTTGATATTGTTATCTATTTGCCACCCAACCATCAGTCCCAGGAACCTTTTTTTAACTTCAGTGAAAGCTCCAGGTACTCATCAGCAGTGATGGGTTGTCCATTTGCTTCCAGCTCCAGGGAGAAATCTCTCAGAGTCCACACGAAGGCTGGAAAGAAGCTCACAAAGTTAGCTGAGTCATCAACTTCACTATTTCCAGGTGAGGATTTTGCCCTGATTCGATCTGTCAGCTCAGTCACATAGCTGAGATGTTAACTTAGGAAAAGTGCAGAAAAACAATGGCAGAAAATATAAGGCTATATTTTCTTCTAATGCTTATGTGAAACAATCTGTTTTCTCTTCATTATCTTATTCATTCATTCATTCCACAAATATTTTTTGAGCACCTTTATGAACCAGGCACTGGACCAGGGACTAAGAATATTGCAATACATGAGTCAATACTACCATCATAGAGTTTACACTCTAATGAGAGAGATAGTAAACAAGTAACCAAAAATATAATAAATAATCAGACATTGATAACAATTCTCTTGAAGAAAAATGAACCAGGCTGAAGGGTTAGACAATAGCTATGTGTGCATCTGCATTTGGTGTTGGTTTATGTAGTTGTCCAGATAGTCCTCTCTCAGCTGATATTTGCACAGAGATCTGAATGAATGGAGTGAGCCATCCACACAGAAATCCATTGGAGGAGCATTCCAGGGAAAGGTAAAAGCACTTGCAAACCGTTAGATAGGAAATAACTGAGCGTGTCCAATGTATAGCAAGAAGACTGGTAAGGATAAGACAGATTCCAAGAAGAGACAATGGACAGACCATGTAAGCCCGGAAGCCATCATAAGGGATTTAAATTTTAATCTAAATTTAATGGGACGCCCTTGGGGGTTTTGAGTTGAGAGAGCATATGGTTTGATATACTATTTTTTAAAAGATTATTATGGCTAGGGTACCATCTATAAGAAGCAACAGTATAATCAGGGAGAGCAATTAGGCAGTTTAAGAGGGAACCTAGATGAGAGATGATGGAGGGCTTAGACTAGAGTTATCACAAACCAAGTTGTGAGGATTGGTCTGGGGAAATTTTTTTGAAAGTGCTGCTTACAGGGCATGCTGATTGATAGTTTCTAGGGTATAGGAAAGTCATCATTCAGGATGATTCCAAAATTTTGATCATCACTCACATGATGATGTGAGGATTTATTGTGATGAGGAAGACTGGGAAAGAATGGGTTTGTACAGGAAAATTAAGAATTCTGTTTTGTACATATTAAGTTTGAGATCTAATGGATCTAAATGGAGATGATGAGAATGTAGCTGTATATACAAGTTTAAAGCTTGTTATAATTGAGAGCAGAGGTTATGATTGGAGATATAAATTTGATGGTGATAGACATAAATGGTACAGAACACCTTGAGATGTAGAGTTGAAAAGAGGCCCAAGAACTAAAGAGCTATAATATTTAGAGATCACGAAGAGGAAGAGGATGAAAAGGTATAATCAATGAAGAAGCTGGGAATTTAAAGAAATAAAGTATTCTATTCTAACAATGAGCTCAAACATAGCAATGATTGTGAAGATGGTGCAGGACTGGGCCGTATTTTGTTGTGTTGTACATGGGGTCGCTATGTGTCAGAACCAACTGGACAGCACCTAACAACAACAACAACATGGTATTCTAGACACCAAAACGATCAAGTGTATTAGAAGGGAGGAAGAGATCGTTTTTTCAAATGCTGCTGAAAAAGCAAATAAGATGAGGACTGAGACCTGACCATTAGATATGGAAATATCAAGGTAACCTTGACAAAAAAAGCTAATTCCATGCAATGCTTGAAAGTGAGTTTGTGGAAACAGGTGACGTAGCTGGTAATGTCCAAGATTAGGTAACGCAGGAAAGTGGAAGAAAAGGTTATGAGGAAGTAACGGAACTGAGAGATCAAAGTGTTGGATGAGTGTCTATTGGTTGCTGAAGTCTCTAGAAAGATAGTAAACTAGGAGCTAAAAATCTTTAACAAATGAGAGGTAAGTTTACCGAGATGATTGCAACAAAGAAGGGTGACATAGTCTGAGGGCATGTGCTTCAAAGCAGCTTCTCTTTTTTATTGGGAGTAGAAAGACAAAATATGTGGAAGCAAGGATGTCACCTAACTCATCTCTGGGACCTGTGAAAAGCAAGGTGCAAAGAAAAAAAAAATCACCATTTGAGACCACTTGATGGGCCTGTAAAGGAAACAGTGTTGGCAGGGGACAGCCAGGTGACAGTTAAAAGGGAACATTTAGAGAAAATGATAAGGATATAACAATTTTGTTGAAGTGAGAACACAAGTTCTAGAGGACTTTGAGGGTTTGGAGTGAGAGGGGAAATTAAGTTATACAGGGGATGTACAGACTCTTGTGTAGCTGAGGATAATGTGTGACCAGGAAGGTTTGGACTTCTCAGGGTGATTGAGGTAAACTGGGATGTTGAGGATAATGGGATTCATTATGGAAGGGACTTACGAATTCTTCTGTAGTTACCCACCTTTATACCTGGTGAAAAAATGTAACTGCTCTTTTCTAGATTTGGTGCTATTCGGGACTACAAAAAGGATACTGCAGTTGGTCCATGGCCTGCTGGTTGATGGTTCCCATGCTATTGTATACAAAGGTGCTGCTCAGTAGTATCGCCAAAGCAAAGATCCAGGAGTCATTCTGGTTGTCTCCCTAGAAGTCAGTGCAGAAATCACATAGAAGAGTGACTAAGAGCATGTCCTTTTGTTTCAGATAAACCAAGTTTGAACTCCAGCTCTGCCTCACGTTACATGTAGAAACTTAGGTAAATCACTTCCTTGTATATTATTTTTTTCCATCTGCGCAATGAGTTTTTAACTTTCAATTTATAGTGTTGTGAAATTTAAATAAGGTATTGTATATAAAGGCATACCAGAGTGTTAAGAACATAAGTACCTAAAAGTGGTAGCTATTATGATCAGCTACTAATATTCAAACATGTCTTCTGAACTTAAATGTGGCCCTATTCCATTCCAATGACACATCTTAGTAAGGAACCTTTTAGACAATAGTTAAAATATGCTATTTTAACAATATTTTTTTTAGCCCAAGACTTAAAAGAGTCATACTGTATCTTCCTTTATGAACAAAGATATTGTCATGAGATCTTACACTTTGACTTCTTCTCTTACTGGTAGTTCTGCTATGGATAAGACTATTTCTTGGCATGTCTCTGGGTCCCCATTTGAAAAGTCAGACATGTTTGTAAAATATCTAATCAGGTTTAGTGGCACTTTCAGTAGGCTCAACAAAACATTTTGCTATGATATATGTGAAAGACACATGGTTAAAGTTGTAATTAGTCATTACTTTATGGACTGCGTAACCTAATTATTTGACCTTATTATCCTCTCTCCATACTTGTGTTATGGGGTTCAGGGTACATGGTATGCTCTGACTCCCAAATCAGTACTTTATGCTCCGAGGTTATGCTTACTTTTCTCACACAGAGCTGGCTTTAGTTAGCTAATGAATTGGATCCTAGGTCAAACTTTCAACTTTACCAAGTAAAGAAAACCAATAATACATTGATATGATCAACTGAAAGCATAAATCAACATTTGGGGAGTGGTAGTGCAAAGAGGGCTACATATCTGGCATACGTAGAATTTAAAAGATTTGTGTTTACCTTCTCTACATCTCCCAGTCCCTCAGTGTCAAGTAGAACTAGGGTGTGGTTTGGCATATTGGGATGAGGCACACACCACATCCAAATTCCCTTAGTGTTAGACTGCACTGTGGAGCCCAAGGGGAAGCCTGCAAAGAGGAAATGAGGTATTTTGGAATGGAGTTTTAACAGATGGTCGTTCTTGATATTGAGATAAAAGTTAACATAGTGAAGGTTAGAAGACATAACTGAAACCACAGCCAGTATTGATGTTAATTATAATCAGAGAAGAGTGAAATTAGAATATTCCATACAGACTGAAACATTTTACTTTACCTTAAAGATCGGTGCAATCTTGCTGTTACTACATGAACATATTAGCAAATGTCTTAGAGTTTATTTTCATGTACATTAATTTCTTATTACTGCCTTATTCTATCCAGGAAAGGTACATTTGTATTGTTAAAAGGGGAAACCGAAGCAAAGCATGTAGCAAGAATGAGCTGACTCTTATTGTCCCAGAGGGAAGACAAAAATTACAACTGTGGACTTAAAGATAGCTTTCAATATTCATCCCACCTGTAAACTTTCTCCTTTACATCACCATATTCGATGTTGAGTAGTGTGAGTGATCAAAAGGTACTAGATAGAGCTTTGCTGGTTCCACTTACCTTTATTCTTCCTTGCCAGCTTGTTCATCAGGTAGGATTTGCCTGTGCGGTAGAGGCCTACAATAGCCACCACCACAACAGGCTGCTTAACTGCAGACAGGATCTTCAAAGCTGTCTGATTAGCTGTCAGTTTCCCATTAATGTTCTCAATGAGGCACACTGGGCCTGGCATGTGGATCTCTGAGGCCATGTCCAGGGTGTTACCTTTGTCTTCAAGGGAAGAGATGGAATGGAATGCAATTTCTAGACAGTTAGCTGAGCTAAAACATTAGAATATGGATGAAATTCTTGTTTTCTATCCTTGAACTTTGTTCCCTGTTCCATTTTTAAAACTCCTTGTGCAACATCTTGGGTGAGATTTCATATGCTATTGAAGTAAAATGTGTATCATTTCAAATTAGATTGTTATAAATTTAAGATGTTAAATATAATCTCCATGGTAACCACAAACAAATTATCTTAAAAAATATACCCAGAAATGAGAAGCGAATCAAAATAGTTCCTGGCAAAAAAATCAACTAACTACAAAAGAAGGAAGTGATGAAAGAAATCAAGGGCAAAAAATGTATATGACCCACAGAAAACAAATAGCAAAATGGAAAAAAATCTTTCTTATTATTGCTTTAAATGTAAATGGATTAAACTCTCCAATCAAAAACCAGCGGTTAGCAAAATGGATTAAAAAAACAAATAATCCAATTATACACTGTCTACAAGAGACTCATTTTAGATATAAGACACAAATAAGCTGAAAGTGAAAGAATGGAAAAAAGAAAAAAACATTCTGCACAAATAGTAACCAAAAGAGACCTGGGTGGCTATGAGACAAAATAGACTTTAAGTCAAAAACTATTCCAATAGACTAAGAAGAATAGTATATATTGATAGAAGGGTCAGTTCATCAAGAAGATATAACAATTATAAATATATGTCCACCTGACAACAGAGCCCCCAAATATATGAAACAAGCATTGACAGAATTGAACAGAAATATAGACAGTTCCTCAATAATACTGGGAAACTTCAATACACCACTTTTAGTAATGGACTGCACATCTAGAATAAAGGTCAACAAGGATGTAGAGGATTTAAAAAACACTATAAACCAACCAGACCTAACAGAAATATATAGAACACTCCATTCAACAACAGCATAATATACATTTTTCTCCACGGCATGTGGATCATTCTCTAGGATAGACCATATGTTAGGCAAAAAATCAAGGCATCATAAACTTAAAAAGATTGAAATCACACAAAGTATTTTTTTCTAATCACAATGGAATGAACCTAGAACTCAATTACAGAAGAGAAACTGGAAAATTCACAAATATGTGAAAATTAAACATACTCTTAAACAACAACCAACCAACAGATCAAAAAAGAAATCACAAGGGAAATTAGAAAATACTGAGAGAAGAACCAAAATGAAGGCAGAACATACAAAAATATATGGGATGCAACAAGGTAGTTGATAGCTATAAACACCTACGTTAAAAAAGAAGTCACAAATCAATAACCAGACTTTAGACATGGAGAAGTTAAAAAAAGAATAGAAAACTAAGCCCAAAGCTAGCAGAAGGAAGGAAATAATAAACATTAAAGCATAGATAAATAGAGAATAGAAAAATAATAGAAAGACTCAATGAAACCAAAATTTGCTTCTTTGAAATGGTAAATAAAATTGACAAACCTTTAGCTAGACTAACAAAGAAAGGAAGAGAGAAGATGTAAATAACTAAAATCAGAAATGAAAGTTGGGACATTACTACCGACCCAAGAAATAAAAAGGATTGTAAGAGAATTCTAGGACAATTGTACACCAACAAATGAGATAATCCTCGTGAAATGGACAAATTCCTAGAAACACACAAATTACTCAAAATGACTCAAGAAGAAATTGAAAATCTCAATAGTAAAGAGATTGAATCAGTAATCAAAAATCTCCCAACAAAGGAAAGTCCAGGACCAGATAACTTCACTGGTAAAATCTACTAAGTATTTAAAAAAGAATTAAAATCAATCCTTCTGAAACCCTTCCAGAGTAGGAAACACTTCCTAATGCATTCTACAAGGCTAAGGTTACCCTGAAACCAAAACCCAGGTAAAGACACCACAAGAGAGGAAAATAACAGACCAACATCTCTTAAAAAATATAGATGAAAAAATTCTCAACAAAGTACTAGCAAACCAAATCCAACATCATATAAAAAGAAGTGTACGCCATGACCAAATTGGATTTATTCTAGGAATGCAAGGATGTTTTAACATACCAAAATCATTCTAATACACCACATTACTAGTACAAAGAGAAGCAGCATATTATGACAATTGATGCAGAAAATGTATTTGATAAAATCCAACACACATTCATGATAAGAGCACTCAGAAAGCTAGGAATAGAAGAAAAATTTCTCAACATGTTAAAAGCGTTTATGAAAAATCCACAGCTTACATCTGAATGTTTTCTATATAAGATCAGGAAGAAAACTAGGATGCCCACTTTTACCATTGTCACTCAACATTGAACTGGAAATTCTAGCCAGAGCAATTAAGCAAGGAAACTATATAAATGTCATCCAAATTGGAATGTAAGAAATAAAATTATCTCTATTGAACAATAACATCTATAGAAAATTCCAAATAATTCACAAGAAAGCTGTTAGAGCTTTAAACAAATTTAGCAGATTTATAGGTTATAATAAAAAAAAAAAAAGTCTTTGCCATCAAGTCAATTCCAACTCATAACGACTTATAGAACAGAGTAGAACTGCCCAGTAGGGTTTCCAAGGAGCGGCAGGTGGATTCGAACTGTCGACCTTTTGGTTAGCAGCGGAGCTCTTCACCACTGAACTGCTAGGACTCCGAGTGCATATGGTTATAATACAAGGTTGTAACATCAGCACACAAAAATCAGTTGTGCTTCTATACACTAGCAGTAAGCAATCCAAAAAGGAAATTAAGAAAACAATTCCATTTACATAGCATCTAAAGTAATAAAATACCGAGAAATAAATTGAACCAAAGAATTAAAAGTCTCCTACACTGAAAAGTATAAAACATTGCTGAAAAAAATTAAAGAAGACCTAAATTAATGGAAAAGAGCCCTGGTGGTACAATGGTTAAGCACTGACTGCTAACTAAAAGGTTGCTGGTTCAAACCCACCAGTGACTTTGAAAGAGAAACGACCTTCTCCTGTAAAGATGATTTGAAATTTTTGATCATTTTATAGATTTAGAAAGGAGTGAAAACACTTCCATTAGTAATGCATTATCATTGTGTTTTTATCTTGTATCTCAACCCATTTAACCTGAAGTGATCGTGATATAACATTCATTAGCTCTTTGAGATACAAACAGACTATAAGCACCCCAGAGTTTATCCTACGAAAAAGAGCAGGTTGCTTCCAATATACAGTTGATTACTACTGTGAGTAAAAATTCAACAACTACCTGATGTGCTTTTGCTGAGGGCTGGCATGCAAAAGAATGCCACTACTGCCCCCTCCCCCCCCAACTGGGCTTCCTATCTCTTCACTAGAAGATGGCAATTTCTTTTTTTTTTTAATTATGAAGACCCATTTCCTATTTCAACCATGGCCCACAGGGACTGCAGGCAAGCTGATGGTCTATTTGATTTTATAGCATGAGGCATACTATCATAAAATGGGAATCAATCAGTGACTGACTCAGAAAAAGCAACTGCACAAAGATTTTAGAAGCTTCCAAATTACAATAATTTTCAAGTTATTATAAAATGTTGCCTCTTTTTTGCAGATCCCAAGTGGCCTAACTTCTATTTACCTAGAGCTATAAAAGTTGGTCATAAAGGAAAAGAAGGAATGTGAGCTTTATTAAGTAGGTTCTGTCATAAACCAAGGTAATTTTAAAAGGTGTCTAGAAAGAAATGACAGTCTTAAAACGTTCACAGATCTCACTGTAGGCCGTATCTCTGCTGATGCCTAATGCAACACAGAGCACAGCAGTGGACACATAACAGACATGCCACCTGCCTGGTGTTCCACATCAAGCTCCGCAGCAGCACAGTTTGGGGGTGATCATTTTAGAGAAAACTAACTGACCTTTACAAATTTCTCCCCACCCTGGCCAGTCTTACCCAGAGCAGAGACTCTTTAGAGCTAAAAACAAAGCTGCCTTGATGGGAAAGTTCTAAGACTGCTTGCCTTCTTTCCCTTTCTTCTCAGTTTAGCTGCAGTAGTTTTCTGTCACTTTTCTCTTTCACTGGAAGTGTGGGCTTTTATCTTACCCTTCCAGCTTCCTGGGGTTTTCCAGATTTTTTTCTGAGCTCTCATAACTATAAATAAAAAAAAAGAGCCTTGTCTGCCAAGAAATCGGTTAACAGGAAACTGAAAGTACATGATGCAAGGCAGTGACTTAACAACCATAAAAGGAATTACAGAAACTCAGGCTGTGGATGGGTGCATGGTTTTGACACTATTTCTCAGCTGTTGTAGCTGTTGTTGTTAGTTGCCTTCAAATCTGTTCTCATACTGCTCCACAGGGTTTTCAAGGCTGTGACCTTTCAGAAGCAGATAACCAGGCCTGTCTTTCACATGCTTCTGGGCGGGTTCCAACTGACAACCTTTCACCTAGTAGTCGATTGCTTAATTGTTTTTGCTACCCAGGGACTCCATTTCTCAACTAGAATCTTCAAATTTTATTACTGGAAGAGATCTTAGAGGCTGTCTGCAATTAAAAATAAAGGTCCATTGGATTGTTTTAAATGTAATGACATTTTTCTCAGGTTTGGGGCCCAGCTGGAGAAAATTGGATGAGAAAGCCTCATATAGTATTCTTCTAGATCCAATTTCCTGGAAGATTAAACCAATTCACAATGGACCTTCTTAACCACGTATAGCGAGGACTCTAAGCGTCCCAAGGGAATGGCCGTATCTTATACACTTAAGAATTCCCAGCACCTAACCCAGGTCTTGGCACTGAGCACTTAATAAATAAAATAACAAGGATAGCTCCTATTTATGGCACACTTGTTTCAAGTCTAGTGATAATTCCTTTACATAGATTATATCACCTAATTCTCACCACAAATACTTTTACCACAATGTTACAGAGAGATAACTTGTTAAAATCACATAGCTACTAGGCAAGATTTAAAATGAAGCAGTGTTGCTCCAGGACCCAAGCTATCAACCACTTCAATAAAACGTCTGTTTTTGCTAAGTAAACAACAAAATGTTTCCTATTTATTGATTGCTCTCTAAGGCTAGACTTTGTGTATATCTCCTTTAAACCTCAAGATAATCCTTCACCATTGGAGTATTTATTATGGCCTTTGTTCAAAGAGAGAAAGGAATCTGAAAGAGGTCTAGTAATGTGTCTGATGCCATTGAGCTGTACCAACTTAGCAAGGTATTGCATGGGATTTAAACTTTAAAATCCATTTGAACATAAGTAGACTATGAGTTGGCCATTTCACTCTTAAGTATATTTCTGACAGAGGTATATGCAGATGTGCACCAGGGCCTTATGTAGAATGATCCTATCAGCAATATTTATAATACCTCCAACCTAAAAATAACCCAAACGTCCATCAACAAAAGAACAAATAAGTAAATTGTGGTATATTTGTTTAACTGAATGCTTTATAACAATGAAAATGACCAAACTACCGTTATATTCAACAACATGAGTGAATCTTCTGAATGTAAAGTTTAGCAAATGGAGCTGGACACAATAGGATGCATACTGTTTGATTCCATTTATGTAAAGTTCACAGACAAGCAAATCTAATCTGTATCGGTAAAAGTCAGGGAGCAAATATTGTTGAGCCTGAGGGAGGGGTTATTAATTGGAAAAGACATAGGAAAGCTTCTGGGATATTGATAATAGTCTAATTTTTGACCCTGGTAGTAACTACAGGATTGTGTTCATTTTATGATATTTTTTACCTACCATACACTTTTCAGGAGTCCTGGTGGCACAGTGGTTAAGAGCTCAGGCTGCTAACCAAAACATGGGCAGTTCAAATCCACCAGCTGGTCCTTGGAAACCCTATGGGGCAGTTCTACTCTGTCCTATAAGGTCACTAGGAGTCGGAATCAAATTGGCAGTAATGGATTTGGTTGGCTGGTACACTTTTGAACTGGGCACTTTTTTTTCCTGTGTTATACTGTAATTAAAAATTTGAGACTTCTGGCCAACATGGCACTATAGAAAGAAGCACTACTCCATCCCTCCACAGCAAAGAACTGAAAAACTAAGTCAAACAGAGACAAATGACAATCCTGACACTGTAAGCATCAAATGAAGAGATAAAGAACTCAGCCAAACACCAAATGGAATAAAAAACTAACAGAGAACAGAGAGCGAGGAAAGATATATGCAGAAGTTTTCCAACAGCTGATGCAGCACAGATTTGCCATCTTGGACTCCTGTCAGAGACTGACGAACAGGGACTATAAGAAAGCAACTTCACGGAGCTCCTAGCAGGAGACAGAACAACCGATAACCAGCAATATATGGTTTCCCACCCTCCACCCCGACTTGGCCTCCTCTGCTTCCTGTGGCCACAGTCTTTTGGCCAGAAGGCACCAGCTTTAGCCCTGTGCCACTTGGATTACACCCGCCCAAACTGACGTGCTCCTTGAGTGCCATTTCTTTGCTGCTGGTGTTACCTTTTTCCCCTTCTTTGGTTCCTTCCATACCTCTCATCACCTCCCCTTCCTTTCTGTCAAATACCTGGATCCCTGTGCCATCTTTTCTTCTTCCTGAAAGGCTGTGAAATACCACTCGACTGTGGAACTGCTTCCTGGCCTGCCCTGCCATGGTGGTGGGATCCCGGGGACATTATTTTTTCTTTGTTTTGAGTTGTTCTCCTTTGATTTGTTTCTTTGTTTGTTTTCTTTTTCTTTTCTCAGCTCAGGAGCCTCTTATAGCTGAGCTGTACTGCGTGGCTTGCAAGCTACTTCCTTAGCCTGCACAGCTGCAAAGTGGGATTCCTGGGGGAGTTTCTTTTTTCTTTTGTTTTTATTTGTTTTGTTTTTCTTTCTTTGTGTTTTTTGTTTGTTTTCTTTTCTCTCTTTTTCCCTTTTTGTCTTTCTTCATTTCTCAGTTTCTTATTTCTCTGTACATACCTTCTCTTCCTGTCTCCTGACTACTTGGTGCTCTATGACACCTCTACCCTTTCTAGCCAGGCTGTACTTTGCAGCCTGAGAGCCACTTCCCCAGTCTTTGCTTCTGCACCAGTGAGATCCGTGGGGGCTTTGCTTTTCTTTTTCTTTTCCTAATTTTTATTTATTCATTTACTTTTTTAACCATTTTTCTTTTTTTTTCTTTTTGTTTTTCTCCATTTCTTGATCTCTCATCTCTCCACTCCAATGGCAAGCTCCCTTAGCATTCTTTTTTTGTTTGTTTGTTTTTGGGTCCTGTTTCTCTCTCCTCTCCTGTTTCCCATACCCACCTTAGCTATACACATCACAATCTCCCCGCTCCTGCCTGCCTACCTGTACTGTGTGCTGAACATCACAGGGACGGCCTACTGGAACATGCCCTGGACTGATTCCCAGCCTACCCTGCCGGCCCTAGTATGTGTCACGAACAATCCATCCCACCAACTCTCCTTCAGCTGAAAATTCCTCACTGTAACATACCTGAGTGACTGACCCTGCTCATTGGACAAGGAGGGAAAAAGTATTGTGCCCTCAGGCGAGCAAACAACAAAGAACTTACAGCACGCCTGCTCAGACATAACCAAATAAAATAAAAAATCAAGATGAAGCAAACAAATCTACAATCAATAAATGAGGAAAACAACTACTGAATGTCCCAAAGACAGAAGACAATATCAAAACATAAAAAGAAGGACAGGATTGTTCCAGTAGGTGTCCAAAATAAAACACCAGATGACTTTTCAGTAGAATAAAAGCCACTAGAACTACCTGATAGAGAATTCAAATCTCTAATATTTAGAGCTATCCAAGAGTTGAAGTAAAAAGCAGACAAAAATGAGGAAAAAATGGACAAATTCATGGAAAACGTAGACATATTCATGGAAAATACAGACAAAAAAAATGGAAGAATTCAGGAGAATAATACAAGAACAAAATGCCAAAATAAATTCATAACTAGAAAAAATACAAAGCAACAATTAGAAATCCAAAAGATAAACAACAAGATTTCAGAAATGGACAGTGTCATAGAAGTGCTAAGGAGCAGGTTTAAGACTATGGAAGACAGGATCGGCAGAATTGAAGACAAACACTTAGATATAACTTTGAGGAAAAATCAGAAAACAGAATGAAGAAAAATGAAGAAACCCTGAGACTTATGTGGGATACAATCAAAAGCAAAAATTTGTGAGGAATCGGAGTTCCAAAACAGGAGGAGAAAACAGAAAACACAGAGAGAATCATTGAAGAACTCCTGACAGAAAACTTCCCCAATATCATGAAAGATGAAAAGCTGGCCGTCCAAGAAGCTCAACGAACACATATAGGATGGACCGCAAAAGAAAATCACCAAGGCATATCATAGTCACATTCACTAACACCAAAGACAAAGCAAGAGTCCTGAGAGCAACTCGAGAAAAATGAAAAGTCACATACAGAGGAGAAACAATAAGACTAAGCTCGGATTATTCGGCAGAAACCATGCAGGCAAGAAGGCAATGGGATGACATACATAAAACCTTGAACGAAAAAATTGCCAGCCAAGAATAATATATCCTGCAAAACTCTTGTTCAAATATGATGGTGAAATTAGGACATTTCCAGATAAACAGAAATTAAGGGAATATGTAAAAACCATACCAAACTTACAAGAATTATTAAAAGGAGTCCTTCGGTCTGATAACAAACAACATCAGACCACAGTCTGAATCTAGGATGCAGGATCATACCAACCAGATACCAACCTAGGAAATGAACTCTCAAGGACTATCAAAAACCAAAAGAATTACAATAGGAACCAGAGAAGTTAATCTGAAAATGACAACACCATCAGAACAACGAAAGAGGGAATAAACTGTATAGGTATAGAATCTTCTAATGGAGAGGAAGACAAGGTGATACACAGTAATAATAGACTGGTTCAAACCTAGGAAGATAAAGGTAAATTTAAAGGTATCAGCAAAGAAAGTTAACAAACCTACTCATCAAAATAAAGAAGAAAAACATAAAGTCTCAGTAAAAACAGAATCTACAAAAACAAAAGAAATGAAAAATAAATTCCACAAATAAAAGGAATCCAGCAGGGGGGACTAAGAGGAACAAAGAAAATGTCAGCAACACAAAAAAATGACTACAAAATGACAGCAATAAACTCACACCTGTCCATAATTACACTGAATGTAAATGGCCTAAATGCACCCATAAAGAGACAGAGAGTGACAGAATAGATAAAAA